TTTAATTATTTTGAGGAGAAAGAGAAGTGGGTTAGAAGAGAAGGAAAATGGGTTGGGTTGACCCAGCCCAATAGATTAATTTTAAGAAAGGAATCAGGTAGTGTTAACCCTATCTGCCTCATTTGCATTCTGAGGGGTTAGAAAAAAAAAGAGAGGAGAAACAAAGAGCTCTAAGGAAGAGTACTCAGGAACGATCTTAGATCACACCAAGACCATCCGTCTTCTGCTCATCCAGGTAAGGGGGGAGTGAGAAACCTCGCTCTGGGTGTGGGATTGTATGCTGGGTAGTGGGATTGGCCCCCAATCCTGTGTTTGTTGCATTTTTTGTATGCTTATGTATGAGGGGTTTTTCCCAATTGTATCTGTTTTGCCTATTGTTTTCTTATATGTAATTAATCGTATGAATTGAGATTTCTATGGGTTCTTATGGGAAACCCTAAGGGAATGCATTGATAATTGTAAGAGGCAAATTTTAAATGTTTTTTGTTTTACCTTCTGAGTTTTCTATTGTGTTTCTTGATATTTGCTGAGTGTAAATATGTATATAATCTTGAAAATAAACAAGTTTTGATATGAATTAGAGTCCTCTGTGGGTTCCTATGGGAACCTTATGAGAAACAGACAAAATATGAATATTTTCTGTTTTGCTTTTTGATTGTTCTGATGTATTCCTTGTTGAATGAGATGTATAAATATGTGTTTATTTTTGAAAATAGAAGCCTAAGCTTCATCACCAACATAATGTGACACCTTCAAAAATAAACACATATTTAATTTTAGCAATAAATGGACAAAGGCTACACTTCGGCGAGGAGTTGGACGTCCTCGGAGGCGTCGGGCGCTTCATCAGATAAAGAGGGGTCGGCTTCAAGTGAAATATCAAGGTTGCCACCGCTGCAATGCGAAGTTGTCTTCCCTTCCGATCATCCCGAACAAGAGGACAGCCGGGATGAGGTGGTTGAGGTGTCTCCTCCGACGACATTGGTCGTGGCCTTGGCACGGGCAACTGAGGTGGATGACCGAGGTCTAAATCGAATCGGTCAGCCGAACCTACATGTGTTGCAAGTTGACGTAAGCAGGGACGAACTGGAGGTGGTCGGCGATGCACGAGGCAAGGGAGTCGTCAGACCGAGTACTCGGGTAAGGGCACGGATCGACTATGGAACCGTGGAGGTGCCTGGTTATGAGTGGGTCGACGGGGAGGTCGACATTTATTTTTTGAAGCTGTCCGACCAAGGATTGTTAGACACATTTGTGTCTTTGGAAAACTGTTTCGGGAGCGAGGAAGACCATTTTCCACTACTTGTCGAGGCATGCGTGGACGACGGGTCGGAGACCGACTTTGTGTTTTTGGAGTCGGGGGATGACGAGGACGACTACTTCTACGCCTATATGTGCTGGTTCGTAGACCTCGGTATTCAGCTACCCTTTGACGATTTTCAAATGGGGGTTCTCCGAGTGCTCAACGTGGCCCCGACTCAGTTGCATCCGAATGCATGGGCCGCGATGCAGGCGTTTCAGAATCTATGTTTGTGCTTGGGTCTAACTCCCTGACCCCTGGCTTTTCTTTATTATTATACCTGTCGTCCGAGCAAGCTGGTGAAGTGGGTGTCGTTGTCTCGGGTGCCGAAGCGAGGGTTCCTCCGCACCTTCACCTCTTCTTATAAAGGGTTTAAGAATGGGTTCTTCAAGGTTCGTTGGGGGTCGGAGATGAAGAATTGTTTCTATGACCGACAAAGCGCCCGACGCGTTACGAAGCGATGTCCGCGTCTAAACTCCCTGCCGAGGACAAGGAGATTGTGGATCTATTAGATCAGCTACCGAAAGGCTTGCCTGTCCGAGGCCTTTTGGATATTTTTGAAACATCTCATTTCGAGATGGCTTTGCTAGGTATGTGTTTTTAAGTCTCGGTAGTTTAGCCGTTTTGAATTGATGTTAAAATTTACTTTGTTGTAGGATTGATGGCCAGAGGCAAATTAGACGTAACCGCTATGCTCGCTAAGAGGGCGAAGGAAGCCAAAGAGAGCGGAAAAGTGCCACCGGCAAGGTCGGCCCTCAAGGCACAAAGGCACAAGCCAACTCATGTACTGATTCCCGTGGCCAATCCCAAGAAAAAGGGTAGCACGTCTCGGGTGCGGGCCGCCGAACACAACGTGGAGTTGGAACGTCCGAGCTCCTCCTCCAAGCGCCCGAAGCAGTTGTCCTTGGAGCAGGCAGGGTGCGGGGCCTTTGCTATTCCCGCTGTCGTCGCGGGGTCGAACTTCTTGGCCTCGGATGTGCAGGTTGAGAATTTGGTCAGTCTCGACCTTACCACTGGAGGGGGACTTCATTACTTGGAGGGGATGTCCACGGAGGCCGAGTATAAGCTCTTTTGTGAGCTTGATGCTCAGACCTTTCTTGTGGCAAAACATGTAATGATGAGGTCGACAGTCTCGATCGAAAGGCTCCAAACGCGCCTGAAGGATGTGAGGCGACGGTGAAGGATGCCCTAAGTGCAAACGCCAAGGTAACAGAATCGGCCGAGGAACTGAAGAAAGCAGTCGATGCCTATCGAAGGGAGGCTGACAATCTGAAGTTGGCCGTGCAGAGAATGAACGCCGATGTTGCCGCTGCTGCGAATGAGATCGCTCGGTTGAGGGAGGCCGCTGCGAAGTTTGAGGCCGAAGCCACCGAGCAGATCCTCTCCCAACACGACGCCGGCTTCCGCCACGCCGTTCGGCAAGCTTACCATTTTTGCGATGTCCCGGCTGACTTTCAGTTTGACGTTAGCCGAGACTTCCTGGGTGGTAAGTTCATGAGCTATGCTGAGTTCCCTCAAGGGGCTGAACCCGATGCCGAGGCCCCCGGTCAAGGCGTCTCCACTCAACCCCCATTGCAGTCGACCGAGGAGGAGGATCTGGTTATTGATGTGGTCGGCGATGGTGACGGAGGTAACCCCGGTGGCTCGGCAGCTGCTTAAAGGGTCGGCTTGGTAGTTTAGGATTTTTTGCTTTTTGCTTCCTTTGTAACCGGGCCATTAGTGCCTTTTGTGACTATGGCCGTTGGTGCCGGTACAATTTGATTTATGTAAGTAGCCGGATTGATTGGCAATATTTCAATGATTACCTAATTTTTTTGCATGTTTATGAATGTTATTGATATAAGCCGACCTGTGTGTTTTTGGCCGAGGGAGTGAGCGGTGAGATCATTAGTGCTTTGCTCGACATCATTTTTTTATTTAATGGTGTTTGGTTTATGACAGTACTCAGTTAATTTGTACGAGCTCGGTTGAGTTGTTGGTTAAGTGATTGGCCAAGGATTTCTCGGCGACGGCGTACGCTACTCGCCCTAGGTGCATCCCTGGCCGAGGAGGGTACTCGGTAGGGAAACCTGGGTTACTCGAGTTTGTTAGTAGTCGGTCGAGGAGTGCTCGGCATCAGCGCACGTTACTCGCCTTAGGTACATCCTTGACCGAGGAGGGTATTCGGGAGGGAAACCTGGGTTACTCGAGTTTGTTGGTAGTCGACCGAGGAGTGCTCGACATCAGCGCACGTTACTCGCCCTAGGTGCATCCTTGGCCGAGGAGGGTACTCGGGAGGGAAACCTAGGTTACTCGAATTTGTTGGTATTCGACCGAGGAGTGCTCGACATCAGCGCACGTTACTCGCCCTAGGTGCATCCTTGGCCGAGGAGGGTACTCAGGAGGCAAACCTGGGTTACTCGAGTTTGTTAGTAGTCGGCCGAGGAGTGCTCGGCATCGGCGCATGTTACTCGCCCTAGGTGCATCCTTGGCCGAGGAGGGTACTCGGGAGGGAAACCTGGGTTTCTCGAGTTTGTTGGCAGTCGGCCGAGGAGTGCTCGGCATCAGCGCACATTACTCGCCCTAGGTGCATCCTTGGCCGAGGAGGGTACTCGGGAGGGAAACCTGGGTTACTCGAGTTTGTTAGTAGTCGGCCGAGGAGTGCTCGGCATCGGCGCACATTACTCGCCCTAGGTGCATCCTTGGCCGAGGAGGGTACTCGGGAGGGAAACCTGGGTTACTCGAGTTTGTTAGTAGTCGGCCGAGGAGTGCTCGACATCAGCGTACGTTGCCCTAGGTGCATCTCTGGCCGGTCTGACCTAAACGTATAATAAAATAGGAAACGAAACACACTTGAATATTCAAAAATGTTTATTAATAAAGTGCCTCATTAAAACCTTGCCGACCCAAAACCCTCCTTAGGGAAAAAAGAGTCGGTCAAGGAAAAGAGTGCACTAGTACATCAGCTGTAATACATTTTTAGGTGGGTGGAATTCCAAGTCCTCGAAATTGGTTCTCCTGATAGGCGCTCCAGCTTGTAGGCTCCGTTGTTCAAGTTGTGTCGGATTCGGAAGGGACCGTCCTAGTTTGGGGCGAGTTTTCCATGTCTCGGATCTTTCCTTGCCTCGCTTGTGGCTCTCCAGACAAGGTCGCCCTCGCAGAATTCTCTAGGCTTCACCTTGGTGTCAAACCTTCTTTTGTAACGTTGCTTGGTGGCCTCGGCCACGACTTGTGCTCGGTCTCGAACGTCTTCCACGGTGTCCAGGTTCACACGGATCTCGGCTTCGTTGTTCGACTCGTCGTAGTGGGCTCGGCGAAACGAGGGTTCCCCGATTTCCACTGGGATCATGGCGTCAGACCCGTAGACTAGGCGGAAAGGAGTTTCTTGCGTAGTCGACTGGGGCGTGCATGGGTATGCCCATAGTACCTCGAGTAACTGCTCGGCCCATGCCCCCTTTGCTTCTCCGAGGCGTTTCTTCAACTCAGTTAAGATGACTTTATTAGCCGACTCGACCTAACCGTTCGTCTGCGGGTGTTCGACCGATGTGACCTTGTGCTGAATTCCGAGGCCGTTTAGGAACTCGTTGAGTTTTCGATCGGTAAATTGAAGGCCGTTGTTGGTCACCAGGGTATGTGGGACACCGAATCGGGTGATGATACTCCTCCATAGAAATTTCTGGACTTCATGAGCCGAGATACATGCCAGGGGCTCGGTCTCGATTCATTTGGTGAATAGATCCACGGCGATGATGAGGAACTTGCATTGTCCCTTGGCAACTGGGAAGGGCCCGAGTATGTCGGCTCCCCAAGTGGCGAATGGCCATGCTGGAGGAATGCAATGTAGCTGCTCGGCCGGTTGATGAATCAAGTTTCCATGCCTCTGACATGGTTGTCCTCTCTTTACGAACGTTGCGCCGTTGGTGATCATGGTCGGCCAATAGCCCCCGGCTCGTAAGAGATTGGAGACGGTCGTCCTTGCTCCCGAATGCATTCCGCATATACCCTCGTGTACTTCTCTCGTCACGTAGTCAGCCTCGGCGGAGTTTAGGCACTTGAGCAAAGGGGTAGAAAAACCGCGTTTGTACAACTGGCCGACAATGACAACGTATCTGCTGGCTTGGGTTCTTAGCCATTTGGCCTCGGTCGGATCGGTCGGCGTGGTTCCATTTATGAGAAATGCTTTGATTTCAGTTTGCCAATCTTGGGATTCGTCCTGATCGTCGCGGTTGCCATTGACATTTGCAACCACTCCAGCGTCGACACTAGGGTGGTCGATCTCTTGTTGAATGATCGTTCTCAAATGGCCTGGCTTTTTAGTCGCGGCCAATCTAGCCAACTGATCGGCTCGAGTGTTGTCTTCGCGTGGATGTGCTCGACCGACACCTCCAGAAAGTTCGTCTTCAACTTTTGATAGGCATGATAGTACTTCATCATGTTGTGGTCTTTCACTTGGAAATTGCCGCCGACCTGCTCGGCCACAACTTTGGAGTCGGTCAAGCATTTGACTCTCGAGGCTCCCATGTCTTCGGCTAGTCTTAGTCCGGCCAGTAAGGCTTCGTACTCGGCTTGGTTGTTGGAAGCCTTGAATCGAAAACGGAGGGATTGTTCCAAAACTATCCCTTTGGGTCCCTCTAGAATTACACCTGCTCCGCTTCCTCGGAAGTTTGACGAGCCATCCACATGGAGGGTCCACCATTGCTCCTCGAAATGACCGTGGGGGTGGAGCTCGTTCACAAAATCAACCAGGCACTGAGCTTTGATCGGTCCTCTCGGTTTGAAGGTTATGTCGAATTGCGAGAGCTCCACCGACCAGGCCATCATTCTGCCGGCGAGCTCGGGCTTACCTAGGACCTTCAAGATGGGGCAGTCGGTGTGTACTACCACCTGGTGGCTTTGGAAATAGTGTCGCAAGCGTCGTGAGGTGTGAACTAATCCGAGCGCGACCTTTTCTATCAGTTGGTACCGGGTCTCAGAATCTTGCAGGAGTCGGCTGACAAAATATATGGGAGTTTGGGTGCCTTCCTTTTCTTGCACCAGGACCGAGCTAATAGCCTCGGCAGATACGGCCAGGTATACTAAGAGTGGGCTCGAGAGATCAGGTCTTGTTAGGATTGGTGGCGTCGCCAAGGTTGTTTTCAGCGCCTCGAAGGCCTCTTCGCATGATTCATTCCACGAGAAAGCCGGGGCCTTCCGCAAGAGTTTCGTCATTGGGCTAATCTTGTCACCTAGGCGCGGGACGAATCGGATAGGGCGACTAATCTTCCTGAAAGACGTTGTAATTCCTTGATATTGCTCGGGCTTCGCATATCTATCACGGCCTGGCACTTGTCTCGATTTGCTTCTATGCCTCTTACTGATAGCATGAAACCTAGGAATTTGCCTCCCTTTACCCCGAAGGTGCACTTCTCGAGGTTGAGTCTCATGTTGTGCTTGCGAAGTGTGCCGAAGATTTCGGCTAGGTCTGATATGTGCTTGGTGACAGAATCGGACTTGACCACCATATCGTCCACGTAAATCTCGATGTTTCGGCCGACTTGCTCCTGGAACACTTTATCCATTAACCTTTGATAGGTCGCCCCGGCATTCTTCAATCCAAATGGCATGACTCGGTAACAAAAATTAGCATTCTCGGTGATGAACGCCGTCTTCTCTTCGTCGAACGGGTGCATCCTTATCTGGTTGTAGCCGGAATAGGCGTTAAGAAAGCTGAATATAGAATGTCCGGACGCTCCGTCGACAAGTCGGTCGATGCAGGGGAGTGGATAGGCGTCCTTCCGGTAGGCTTTATTGAGGTCGGTGTAGTCGGTACACATCATAAACTTTCCGTTCGACTTTTTGCCCAGAACTATGTTTGCTAGCCAAGCCGGGTATGGGACTTCCCTTATGAAATCAGCCTGTAACAATTTTTCCACCTCGGCATTAGCGGCACTTCGCTTCTCATCTCCGATCTTTCTTTTCTTTTGCGCGACTGGTCGTGCGTCTCGGCATACGGCCAGTCAGTGGCATAGGAACTTGGGATCTATTCCTGGCATGTCTAATGTCGTCCACGCGAAGAGGTCTCTGTTGTCCCTGACTACATGCTTGACTCGGCTTGAGTCGGTCTCGGTCAACTGGGATCCCATGTTTGTTGTTTGCTCGGGTGTTCTGCCCAATTGGAAAGTCATGAGATCCTCGGCTGGCTCGATTCGTTCTTCTTCACCCAACCGAGGATCAAGGTCGATGTCTTCCGTCGTCTATTGCCTTACTACGTTCACACCCTTCGTTTTCGGGGAATCGGCCAGTGGCTGCATCTTAAGGCTGGAGAGATAGCATTCTCTTGCCGTTTTTTGGTCGGCATGCACGGTTATCACCTGCCTGTCTCTCGCCGGAAACTTCATGCACAGGTGGGGGGTCGAGACAATCGCCCCTAGGGCATTAATGGAGGGGCGGCCCAGAAGGATGTTGTACGATGTGTTTGCATGCACCACGATGTACCGAATTTTGATCTCTCGTGAGGATTTCTGGTCGAATCCAAAACGAGTGTACAAGTCGATGCATCCCCTAGTCATCACCCTTTCGCCGGAGAATCCTATTAACGGCTCATGATATGGTTCTAGGCTTTCCTCTGGGATCCCGAGTTGCTTGAACGTGTTCCAGTACAAGATGTCGGCGGAACTCCCTTGGTCGACCAAAGTTTTCTTTACGATGCAATTATGTATCTCCACGGAAATCACCATGGGGTCGTCCTGGACAGGATCGACGCCTCGGAAGTCTCGGTCGGAGAAGGTAATCGGTGGCATCTTCGGAGTTCTCGGCTGATCCACGTTATTTACTGATCGTACGGCCCGGAGGTGTCTCTTTCGCGCGAAAGATGTGGAACCTCCCCCGGGAAAACCTCCGGCTATTGTGTTTATTATCTTCCTCGGCCGGTTGTTGTCATCTCGGGAACTTCATGAGTGATCTCTTCTTTCAGTTGATCGAGACCTGTGGCGTCGATCTCTCCCTCGTGCTCGGTGATCCTATGGTGTCACGAAGTTTCCAAGATGACCTTGCTTAATAAGGTCCTCAAGCTTGTCTTTTAATACCGAGCATTCTTCTGTCGAATGACCCCGGTTTCGATGGAATCGGCACGTCTTAGCCTTGTCAGCCCTCGGAGGCGTGTTTGCCCTCTTGGGCATCACCAATATTTCGGATGCGAGAGCCTGCTCCAGTACCTTAGCCCTGCTCGCATTAAGGGGAGGATACGCTATGTAGCGCGGTCCTCTCGGCGGGTGAGTGTTCAAGGGCTCGGCAT